TGCAGGATGAACAGAGCTATTAGTAATGTAAATGGTATAAGAGCACACAAGGAAGTGTAAATTCCCTAGCACCACACAGCAAGCACTGTGTGTAATTAAATACATAAATATTCACATATTACCTCTCTCTACATCTATACTAAGAACCTCACATCTTCCTTGTATCTCTGAAACTGGAGATCTTCATCTCTTTGCAATATAACAGCATTTCAACACTGATGCTGGAACAAAAACAACTATTCAGAGTATGTACATGGGTTTTCTGAGGAATGAATGGAAGCCATAATAATTTGTAGTGTAAGGATCAGTGGTTGTGTCCACAGGCAGATGCATTGGTACTTCTCTGGTATGCCTAATCTTCTCTGGGTTTAACATACCTGCAAGGCTGTCTCTGGAGCAAATTTTTGTTGCCGCCTGACTGTGCAACTGGTTTAATTTGAGAAGATGTATGAAATGCACACATGGCATTACTACTTCCTAATGATGTGGTGGTCTTATTTAAGTGGCCCCCAATTGTTTAAGAGGAAGGGTATCAAAGCATTTAAAACTTTCTTCTTTTGCCTAGTAACCAGGACTCCATCAGCACTGTAGATAGAGGTTAGATGCTCTAAAGGCTACAGGTGAGGCCAGAGATTGACTGACTGGCTTAGAAATCAGGTTGTATACTGGGTAGACTGGGGACCTACTGAGGGCTGGTGAGAAGGTCCTCAGCTAAACAAAGGGTCATGTTTAAGTAAATCTTTGTTCTGTATGTGGCAGAACAAAGATTTAAACCCAAGTTTTCAACAAGTTCAATGAATGTTAGTAACTGTTTGCTTTCTGACCTTGCCTCTGTCTCCTCTCTGTCTTTGAGCTGAGAAATTTTTTCTCAAACTGAAAAATTTATTTTGACAAATCACTCACCTTAACTCCAACACTTCCTTGGTTTGCTCTTTTGGACTTGGCAATCTTAATACTTTTCTAGCATAGTTTTGTGGGGATGAGGTGCTGTAATGTGAGTGAAAGAAAATGAGATGTATAAATCACATATTTCTTTTTCACCTAGGTGCCCAATACAGAGAGTTTTGTCAATATCTAGTGCATAGAGTTGTAGCTTTTAGGGCCTGAGAAAGGTCTTTATAATAATCCAGTTTCATGCTGGATGTAACAGAGTCTACAAAAATTTGCTCAGTTGGGTAAGAAATCTATTCTCAATCATGCTATGAAAGGTTGTCATAATATGCACACAACACAGGACAAAGTGAGGGTCAGGTCTGAATTTTCTCACTGGGGAAATTAGAATCTTTGATAGTGCATAATCACAATTTTTTTACCTTCACAGTCTATATTATACAAGTGATTTGTTAAGCTGTAATAGACATTCCATGTCACTCAAGTACCATCCTTTTGAGCTTCAGAAATGCAAATTTATTCACAGATCTAAACTGGAGATTTCATCTAGAATGTATATGTGCATGTAGCAGCATGTGTACTACAAGAAGAAAGTGTTATTTGTAAAAGAGTTATGGGCCTGTAAACCTCAGAGAAATTTGCAGATATTAGCTATTCAGCTACATTAGCAGCTGTTTTGAGCTTTTGGGTTTGTATGCAATAAAAGAATTCTATTTTCACTTAATACAAAAGAAATCTTATGGGTAGATCATTTATCTTGAACTTTCAGAGAACTTTTAAGTTAAATAATAAAGTACAAAGATTATCATTTGAGGAAGTTCTTTGTCAAGCAGTCACCTTCCCTACAAACTATTCTTCTTTAATATTGGCTTTGCCTTTCCCCAGACAATGCTCAGCTCCTTACAGCTGCAGTGTATGGTAACACACTCCAATTAGTGACCAGCTGTGCAGCTGCATAATTGTGCTTGTAAATCATTGCCATTCGTGGTTCTATAACTCCATTGTATCCTCACTGAGTGGTCATAGACTGAGTAGTACTATTTAGTCATGCATGATATGAAGGTCCTACTATAGTTTTGATTGTCTTTATTTCATTTAGTTTTATTCTATTATTTTTTTGCCAAGGAAGCAACTGCATAATAATCAAGATAAGAATTCATTATAGATTTATTCAGTGGCACGAAGATGTTTTGTGCTTCTCCAAAGCACTACCATTTGATTTTTTCAATTCTGGTCACTATCAGTATCTGAATTTTCACTTTTTTCCATTTTCAAAGAGCTGTTGTAACCTTCAAAGTTTCATTACTGAAGGGTTACAATCAGTTCTGAGTCTATTACCTATTATTGTGTACATTAGTGTTGTTTTCTTCTCACCATGTGCTCTGCTGAAATCAATTTACATTGAATCTTATCAGTTACTCTGTTGCCCTAGAGGTTGTACCAGAAGTTGCTTCTGTGGTTTATCTATGAGCTCTTCATTCTCCATCCTCTTTTGAAGTTCTCATGTTTTGAACATTCATAGTAGCTGAAATCCTAAAATTTTAAAAGCAACATTTGGGTATTGTAATGAAAAGCATGCAGTTGCCAAATGTCAAGAAGGACAGACAAGAGGTGTGGGATCAGAATGGCTATCTGAGGCTAAACATCCAGCTGTGTCTACCCTTCTGATGAAAAACAGTTGAATCCCAGTGGCTGGAATCTGAGACAGATGGCAGTGCAAGATTGGTTAGGAGCAGAGGCACAATTCAGATATTACTCAGTAATGATGCATTTTATATCTTATTCTACAATAAATGAGTAATCTGCTTAATATATACCCTTGGAAGAAGTGGCTGCTGCCATTCTGGCTGCTGGTAGGGGTCAAGGGATTAAAATATTGAAAATAAAATAAGATCATTGAATTGCTCAGAATTCTATCTCTAAATTCATATCTGTAAAAAACCCAAAATTCATCTAGACTTAAATGTAGAAAATGGGAAAGCAAAGTTAACAAGTTGCAAACTAGAACTCAATGAAAAAATATATTCTAGTATTCATACTTGTATTGGGTTTGTGTGACAAGATTGTGGTAGTGGGGGCTACAGGAGTGGCTTCTATGAGACACTGCTGGAAGCTTCCCCCATGTTCAACAGAGCCAATGCCAGTGGCTCCAGGAGGGACCTGTCACTGGCCAAGGCTGAGCCCATCGGTGACGGTGGTAATACATCTGTGGTAATGTATTTAAGAAGGTGAAAAAATTCTTGCACAGAAGCAATTGTGTCCAGAGAAGAGAGGAGTGAGAATATATGAGTGAAACACCCCTGCAGGCACCCAGGTCAGTGAAGAAGGAGTCAGAGGAGGTTCTGCAGGGAGCAGATTCGATTCCCCTGCAGCCTGTGGTGCAGACCATGGTGAGACAGGCTGTGCCCCTGCAGCCCATGGGGTTTCATGGTGGACCAAAGATCCACCTGCAGCTCATGGAGGATCCCCTGCCAGGGCAGGTGGATGCCCAAAGGAGGCTGACACCCTGAGGAAAGCCCATGCTGTAGCAGCCTGTTTCTGAAGGACTGCATCCTGTGGTGGGACCCACAATAGAGCAGTTCATAAAGAACTGAGTCTCGTGGAGACTCACCTTGGAGAAGTTCATGGAGGACTGATTCCCATGGGAGGCATCCCAGGCTGGAGCAGGAGGAGAGTGTGAGGAGTCCTCCCCTTGAGGAGGAGAAAGAGGTAGAGACGTGATGAATTGACTGCAGAACACATCCCCTGCCCCCCTGCACTGCTTGGGTGGGATGAGGTAGAGAATTGTGAATAAGGTGTCTGGGAAGAAAAGAAGAAAGGAAGTGTGTGTAGAAGGTGTTCTTAAGATTCAGTTTTATTTCTCATTATCCTACTCTGTTTTGATTGGTAATAAATGAAATTAATTTACCCAAGTCAAGTCTGTTTTGCCTGTGGCAGTAATTGGTGAGTGATGTTTCCCTGACCCATGAGCCTTTTGCTTTTTTTTCTTTCCCTTGTATAGTTGAGGAGAGAGTAATAGAGGAGTTTTGACACCTGGCATCTAGCCAAGGTCAACACACCACAGCATTAAATTTAGGGTACATTAATTGCAGTAATTTTCCAGTCTTCATCTTGCATTTTGATTCCATGAATACTTTGAGTTAATTTTATTATCAAGAAAAGTCTTTGGAAAGAAGAATTTTTCCTATAGTTTATAGAATAAGAATGTTTTTCAATCATTTCATTCATTTTATCAGAAACTCAGCAATGAGACTTGTAAATAAAGTGATAGATATCCTGATGGTTTATTGTCTGAAGCAGTTCAGCCTGAGCTTTATAATTTGTACTTTGAGTAGAAAGATAGAAAGTACATGACATGAAGTTTGTTTGTGTCTGGGGGCTCTGTAGGTCCTGAAATATGTAACATTCTTTAATTAATAGCTACAAATTAGACTGTAATTTGTGCAGTCTGTACCATGTGCTGTACCACCAGGATGTACACAAACAAGGGGTGTTTATTATGCAAAGTATGACTCTATACTGAATGGAGCTGCAGAAACTGGCAGTGTCTCACATTGGTCCTTCTCACCTCCAAGGATGTTCAGTTAGAGGGTTGTCTGAGCTTTGCTTCTGTTGGCATTCATAACCTGTATCTCCAGCACACTCTTAGCTTGAGAATGTCTGCATAATCTGGCTCTCCTCTTTTACTACACATGTGGCAAGGGCAGTAAAAATCTGGTGTTACTGACTGCTTTGAGCTTGCTGCAAGAATGTTCAACAATAAGAGCAACACTTATCTCTTCACTGCTCCTTTCCAGGAACAGCCTGCATCTGGCATCAGGCTGGTGAGAATTCACATGGTGTTTAGTGTAATGATTCCTCACCTTGAAAATTAAATTAAGGATACATTAAAAAAGAGGTTTGTGTTTAATTATTAAACAAGTTAATATTAAGCAAATAAATAAACTATTCATAAATTTATTACAGGAAATTCTTCAGTCTTCTCCTTCATCTTTAGTTTTGCCAGCTGTTGACTGCAAGGCTACCAGGTATCTTTTGAGCTTTCTTCAAGAGTCAGGAGATTGGAAGTTAACAAATGTAACTGATCCCAATGTCTCTCATCTGGAAGTGGATGCATCTAAGCCAAATTTACTGGTGGTTCAGCTACAACCACTTGGCAGGTAGGAGCATATCATAAACAGAATTGACCCACATGTGTGCATGATTTTTAGAGATTTGAAAATGTCAATTGTATTTGGGAAATTAAAAAACCAAAGTGGAAGCTTGTAGGGCTAGGAAAATTATTTCTCTTACAAGGGTAAATTAAAACCAAAGTGGAAGCTTGTAGGGCTATCAAAATTATTTCTCTTACAAGGGTAAATGTCAGTGTTTTTCGAAGTCCCCTGATGACCTTACCAGGTGTAATAGATGAATTTTGTTGAGAAAAGCAGTCAGGCATTCCTACTTTGTCTGCCTCATTATATGAGAAAAAAGAGGCAGCTAACAAAACTAAATGGCAGCACACTTTTAGCAGAAAGGCTCAATTATTTTACTCAGCACATGATTAACCTCCAGAATTAATTGCTAGAAGGCATTCCAGGGGTCAAAAAGAAAAAAAAAAAAAGGAAGGATAAATAAGGAAGTAAATAAACTTACAGACAAACCTGAAGCTAATATGAATGAAGAGACTGGTTTGCATCACTCTGGAAGGAAGAGGCTGTAATTCTTCATGTTTCCACCCCTATGAGGACTGTGACCTAATGGAAGTAGAGAGAGACTGTTTCTTCAGGTGAACATATATTTTAGATAACATAAGGCTTGCTCAGGTTCTTCTGCTCTTTCTTCTTCCCAGCCTGTTTCTTGGGCATTTTACATGTTGGTGTTAGGTGCATATATTCAACGTGTCCTAAAGAAGTGCAATTCTGGCTGTCACGTCACTACACAAAGAGGCATGATACCTGCTTTAAGGAGCTCATGTGCAAAGTTTAGACAAGGGGCCAACACCAAATGAAAAGAAAGCTGCCCAGAGATTGATGAAAATAACATTAGTCTGGCTTCTCTGCAGCCCAGGAAGTTTGAAGAGCTTGAGAAACCAGCTGAAGATCTGGTCCTTGTGCTTTTAATGGCTTTGCTCTTTTGCTAGTCAGTATCTTCATATATTTCTGGTTCACATTGTTCTTGCCCAGAAAAAAATTTTAAATTACTTCTCTCCCACTCTTTTTGTAGTGGTTTAACAGAGATTTCCACCCTGGAAGCAATTGCTGAAAATGGTAAGTAATATGTTCAAGCTATAACTAACATTTCATCATTTAAGTCTGTGTTTTCACTTGAGCAGATTGTATTCTCTGCTTCCTGGGCTTTACTGTAATAGTACTGTTCAAAGTATTTTCCCCCCACCTATAGTACTTATAAGCAGTTGGTTATCATAGTGTTGAAATACTGAGTGTCTGATTCAAAATCCACCAAACCAGATACAGCTCTGTGACCTGAAATGTAATGCTAATTCACCCTTGTTTCAGGCATGGGCATTTGCTCATGCTCTGAGTGTGAACCCTGCCTCTCTGTGCAGCTTGGGCTGCCTCCTTGGATCTCAGCTTGCACACTGGTAGCCGAATGTGCCAGGCTCATCCAGCAGTTCCAAGGCCTTGGTCTCAGCAGAGGGTGTCTGCATGAATAGGAAATGTTTTTCTGATCTTTGTAAAACAATATGGATGGCCTTCATTGCCTTTGACATCAGTCTTTTATTGGTTTTGCAGTTATGAAACACTACTCTCCATATAACACTATAAAAAAACCTCTTTTCTTGCCTAGCATCTGGTTGAAAAAGAGGTGCCATGCACCAAAGAGGCACTGAGAGGTATCTCATTTTTTTGCAGGGCTTTCACTTACTGCTCTAAATTAGAGATCAAGTTATAAAGGCTTCAAATCACTGAAGTGGTAGTTTTGGGGGTATACAGTGGAGTGGACTGATAATTTAATAGTGTTCTTAATGCCTATGATTGTTTCTGCCCAGATTGGGGGTGTAAAATCAGAAGCAGATTTGAAAATCAGGAGAAAATAACCTAGTACTGAAATCAGTAGTGTCTTTGGTTTTGTACTGCTCCAAAGTGAGTGGATTTTATACTCAAATAAGGAGATGGATTTCCATCTGAATTGTAGAGGAGTTTTTTTCTCTTTTCCTGACTCCACAGTACATTAGGTAGGAGAACCTTGGCCTAATGTTGGTCTTGGCTAAACATTATCTTCTTCTTTATGGGACATTTCTTTCATCAGTTGTACAGACTTGAGAATAAGCTTACCAAACCCTGTCTCAAGCCACTTTGTTTTAGAAAAGCAAAGTTAACAGTTGACCTGTGGGGTGATGGAAGAACAGGCTACACCAACTTGTCGGTTAGTGTCATCTAGCCATTAATCAGGAAAAAGATGTGTGAATCAGGGAAGATGTGCCACTTTTCACAGCCAAGTGCAAAATCTGCACTACTCTTCCCATGTAAACACATAATTTAGGTGCTTGAAAATATGGTGGACAATCTGGACCCTTTTCCTTGCAGAATTTCCAAATACTTCATGAGCAAGGTAGGGTTCTGATCATAGGCAAAGATATGTATCACCTCTGTTGTCATGAGGGTGTTCACAGCAGTTTCTCTAAATGAAGGAATTGCCTCTAGAAATTTCCCAAAGGCAGGAGTTATAGTTGTTACTGGTAACTATAGTTACATGTAGCTCCTTTCTCAAGTGAAATGCAAATAACATTTTACTTCGGAAAGCAATTGGTTGCTTTAAAGAAAGAAAACCAAAGGCATTCTATGCATCTTTATATGTATTTTTTCTTCGGCAAATTTTAGCTGAGGCTGATAAGAATTTCCAAAATCTGTGATTCTAGAATATGAAATTTATGTTATGTAATGCCTTGGACCTCCACACCCAATATAATTATGGTAGTATTTAAGCAGTTGTTTTTCTGAGTAAGTACATTTCTTATAGTAGATCCTTTTAGCAGTAGCTTTTAGAAGGAAAATTTACATAGCTATGATTCTTGACTGGTACAAGGAAATCACTTTGGTTAAAATCCTGCAGAAAAACCAATGCTTGCATTCTTACAAAAGCTAAACATTTTGCTCAACCAGGAGACCATAATTATGGTAAATGGAAGAGGTTAAAGAGGATAATAACATAAGCTCCGTTTCCACTATATGAAAATAAAACACTATTCTGTAAAGTATAACCTCAGAACCTAATTAGTCTGTATGTCCAGGCTATAAAATATCCATTCATCAGGCTGGTACATGGATGAGAAGTGGAAAGGCACTGAAACTGTAAATGTGAGTCTGCTTGCTTATTTCTCTAGCAGTCCCAATAACGACACTACTAATGGTTTATGATTCACAACTATTATGCTCCTTATCATAAGCAGATGTTAATATTTCTACATAGAGTTTACAAACATTTATCAGTTTTAAGTATTTGTTACAACTGCCTGTGGTTTCAGAACCTTGTAGAGGCATATTTGGACCTCTTTGAAAGATCCTCCCTTACTTGACTTCTCTGTTCAGAAATATTCTGCCGTATTTCTCCTTTGGCCTCCGCTGTAGTCAAAAGCAAAGTTTTCTGTATCCTGTTGAGGATGCAGAATCAAGATTTAAACCCACAGAAGTCAGAAGAAATATTGCTGCAGATATTATGCATATCATGCCCCACACTTAGCACTATGTTTTGAGTATTCTGTGTAATTCACAGAATAATTCTATTTAAGGTTTATTATTTATTTATTAACTGGTCACTTGACTAACAGTATATGCATCTTGCTCTCATCTCTTAAGTGATTTCTTCTGCTCTTGCTTTTAACCGCCCAAAGTTCAAACTTTTGAGTATTGTTTTCATAGTATTTGTTTTTCAGTTTCTGGACTGTCATAATATATTTTTTGGCATTATCTCACTGAAATTATGTTTTTTTCAAGACAGTGAATATGCCTTATCCCATTTGTACCTATTCACCTACAAATGGTATGGGCACTTAAATAAACTAAACAAACTTAAACATCTAGCTCATTACTTCCATGTCTACTGTAGGATTTTAGCTTTCTCATCTTACAGAGTTTGTTAAATTATACATATTTCTATTTACAGACAAAATAATTGGAAGAGTGACCATGGCTCTGCAGGAACGAGGGATTCATTTTTCAGTAATTTATACTGCAGTGAGACCTTCAAGGGTGAGTGAATCTTCAGTGCCTAGAACTGTCAGATTTTTAGCATCCAACAACTTAATGTTTACAGAGGAATGCTGTAGATGATTTTCAAGATTACCCAGGCAAGCAATCTGTATTATATGAGGTTTTGACCAGAAATGATTGAATGAATTTTCATGCACGATAGCTATATCACGTAACTATTGACGTTTTGCTGTTCTAGGACACTATAAATCTGCCACTGTCTGTAGAACTTATTATTATTTTTAAGAACTGAAAATTAAGATTTTTTTTCCCCCGTTTAACTGTTTTATAGTCAGTTCTATGTGAAACCTTATCAAGCATCCTAGTGTGGCCAGTCAGTAAAGATAGAGTGTTATTAATTAAGTGAAGACTACTAATGCATCCATTTTTAAATTAATTGGTTTAATTCCTTCAATCAATACTTGGTATTTACAGCTGGAAGTTAAAGTTTTCATCCTTGCTGATAGTCAGAACACCATTTATAGATCACCTCATGTTATGTTAACAGTCGGTAGCAATGCAGAATAGTTATTTATGCAGAGTTATCTGTTTTGTATACAGGTTGAAATAAAAAAAATCAATTTTTTACTTTAAATGTGATTAAATGGAAGACAGTCATGCCTTGAGGAAAACAGAATATGGTTCTCACTAAGAATAGAATCATATGAGGGATGAGCTGAATCCTAAAAATTGCAGCTTTGAAAGAAACGTCTATATGTTCCAGTGGTACCACATCTGAGCTCCTAGTATGATAATAGAATCATAGAATCATTCAGGCTGGAAAAAACCTCCAGGGTCATTGAGTCCCACCTTTAACTGAGCACTACCATGTCAACTAAACCATAGCACTAAGTGCCATGTCCAGTTGTTTCTGGAACAATTCCTGGGATGGTAACTCCACCACCTCCCTGGGCAGCCTGTTCTAAAGCTTGATAACTCTTTCAGTGAAGAAATTCTTTCTGATATTCAACCTGAACCTTCCCTAGAGCAGCTTTAGGACATTTGTTCTTGTCCTATTGCTTCTGGTTACTAGACCATGGCACTGAGTGCCACATCCAGTCTCATCTTGAAAACCTCCAGGGATGGTGACTCCACCACCTCCCTGGGCAGCCTGTTCTAAAGCTTGATAACTCTTTCAGTGAAGAAATTCTTTCTGATATTCAACCTGAACCTTCCCTAGAGCAGCTTTAGGACATTTGTTCTTGTCCTATTGCTTCTTACTTGGAAGAAGAAACTGACCCCCACCTTGCTACACCCTGTCAGAGAGTGATAAACTCTTCCCTCTCTCCAGGCTAAACAACCCCAGCTCCCTCTGCTGATCCTCATATGACTTACTCTCTAGACCCCTTTATCAGCTTTGTTGCCCTTCTCTGGACTTGCTCCAGTACCTCAATATCTTTCTTATAGTGAGGGGCCCAGATCTGGACATAGGTCTCGAGGTGTGGCCTCACCAGAGCTGGTTACAGGAGACAATCACTTCTCTAGTCTAGCAGGACTAGAGGAGTGATTGTCCTCTGTACCCAGCAGAATAGAGAAGGCTGTGGGAGACAGCTTTACTGAAGTCCAGATAGACAACATCCTGATCATAAAAGGAGATCTGGTTGATCAAGCAGGATCTGCCATTCCTAAACCCATGCTCTCTGGGCCTGATCCCCTGGCTCTGTATGTGCCAAGTGATGGCACTCAAGAGAATCCGTTACATAACCTTCTCTGGCACAGAGGTCAGGCTGATGGGCTTGCAGGTCCTCGGATATTCCTTCCAACCCTTCTGGTAGAAGAACATGACATTGGCCAACCTCCAGTTGTCTGGAACCTCCTCAGTTAGCCAGGACTGCTGGTCAATTATGAAGAGTTTGTTGACAGGCTCTTCCACCAGCTCCCTCAGTACATTTGGGTGAATCCCACCTCGTCCCTAGACTTGTGTCTAAGTGGTACAGCAGGTCACTGACTGCTTCCTTTTGGATTGCAGGAAGTCTATTCTGTTCCCCATCCCTTTCTATCAGCTCAGGGGGCTGGTTGCCCTGAGCATTACTGGTATTTCTGTTAAGGACTGAGGCAAAGAAGGCATTAAGTACCTTAGCCTTTTCTTCATCCTTGGTTACAATGTTTCCTCCTCATCCGATAAAGGATGGACATTTTCCTTGGCCCTGCTTTTGTTTTTAATGTATTTATTAAAGCACTTTTCATTATTTTCTACATCAGTGGCCAGATTGAGCTCTAGCTGAGTTTTTGCCTTTTCTCTCCACATGACCAAATGACATCCTTGTACTCTTCCTGAGTTTCCTGCCCCTTCTTGCAAAGGTCATAAACTCTCTTTTTTTCCCCTGAGTTCTAGTGAAAACTCCCTATTCAGCCAGGCCAGTGTTCTTCCCCATCAGCTAGTCTTTCAGCACACATGCACAGCCTGTGCCTCTGCCTTTTAAACTTCCTTAAGCATGTCCAGCCTTTCTGGACCCATTTGTTATTAAGGACTGTTTTCTAATGGACTCTGAACCAGTGTCCTGAATAGGACAAATCTGCTATCTGGAAGACCAAGGTAGAGGTTTTGTTGACCCCCTTCCTACACCACCAAGAATCAAAACCACTTATCACTTCATGGTCACTGTGTCCAAGACAGCCTCAAACCACCACATGCCCACCAACCTTTCTCTGTTTGTAAACAGCAGGTCTAGCAGGGCACTGCCCCAATAGCATCTGTGTCAGGAAGTTATCTTCCACACATTCCAGGAACCTCCTAGACTGCCTCCTCTCCATTGTGTTGAGTTTGCAGCAGACATCCAGCAAGTTAAAGTCTCCCACAATAAGGACTAGCAATTCTGAAACATCAGCCTGACTCTTAGAGAATACTTCATCTGCCTTTCTTTGGTTTAGGCAACAGGAAAGACATTAGTGGGATTGTCTAGATCTAGCGTGAGCAATGCAGACAGGATCTTGAGAGGCTGGAGGGTTTTCAGGCAGGACCACTATTAAAAAATTATCACAAGAATAAAACCTAGAAAACCTGTGTTCCTTTAGCCAAAACTGGATGAGCCTCTCAAAGGTGTTCTGTGTTCGATCAGAAGTAAGATGAGTTTTTGCATGTAGGTAAGATCTTGAACCTCTGTCTATCCAACAAAATGATCAGAATAGTTCCTTCAGACTCTAGGATGAAGGTTAGTTCTACTGAAGAAAAACAAGAAGTTACTTCAATAATCCACCCTGTGAAATTATTTTCCAGAGAGCGGATTTTGAAGACCAGACTTAGACTAAAAAGACAGAACAAAATGAGCAGGCAAGCTCATATTTATAGTCTCTGCACTGTAAGTTTTTGTGGCAAAGGAAAGAATATGAGTCCAGGACTTGCAGTCCGCCTTTTTCCCCCCTACTTTTCTTAAACAAATATCCAAAATAAAAATAATTTCATTATTGTGGCTTCTTGTTGTTCGAAATCAAAGGCACATGGGCATTCTTAGCTTAAAATTGCATTTAGAACAATTGGAAATGAAAAATATTTTTAATTAATGAAAGAATTGGAGTTAAGAGAAGGAAATTTTTGATCAATTTTAAACGTATTTTGAATTTCAAATCTGCATCTTTCAACGGGCTCTCTAAATTAAAGTGACTTAGTCTGAGCAACTGAAGCACTTTTAAATGATTAAAGCAATGTATTTTAAGATGTTCTACATATTTTGAAAATAAGCAATTTAAACTTTTCTTAGTTGTATAAACTCAATGCTGAAACCATTTAAAGCACTTTTTCCCCTGTGATAACTTTAAGTTATTTCAGTGCGTTCAAGGATAGCAGCTTCTGTACAGAGCTAGAAAAGGCAAAGCAAAATGTACTTTTGAGGGTTCATCAGTCTGTACTTAGTATGTATTGCATATATTTGGCTGTGCTTGAACTGTGGAAGGTATGAACTGTTTCATAACCATAAGCAAAAGTACTAGCTCCCTCACTTAAGCTATAAAGGCTAAATTCCATGATCTAGAAGTTACAAGGTCACTCTCCAGTGATAACCAAGATCAGTATATATGAGTAGTAAAAGGCTTTGATCATGCTGAGAAAGAGTTTATATTACTTAGTGCATTTGAAAATCAGTTGCAATCATTTGTTATGAAAGATTTTCATTTACTAAGTTGCCTTTTTGTCAGTGATGAAGGAAATTAGCTTTAAGTATTAACTTGAAAAAGAAAAAAGAATGGCTCCTTCTAGTCAAGTAAATTAATTTTATATAGTGAAGCTCCCAAAAACTGGTGTTGTGAGATAATTGTCTCCTGAAAGCTCTACCTCCTTACTGTTGGGCAGTTAATGGCTTCATAGCATAGTCATGTTCTATTTCATAGAATCACAGAATCATAGAATCAACCTGGTTGGAAGAGACCTCAAAGATCATCATGTCCAACCCTACTGTCGTTACTAGACCATGGCACTAAGTTCCACATCCAGTCTCAGATTGAGAACCTCCAGGGATGGTGAATCCACCACCTCCCTGGGCAGCCCATTCCAGTGCCTGATCACTCTCTCCGTAAAAAATCTCTTCCTAATAT